GGCACGAACCCGCGTCTCCTACACTGGCAGGAGGATTCTTAACCACTGTGCCACCAGGGAAGCCCTGACCTCCTATTCTTAAGTGTAAGCCTGCCCTCCCCTGAGGATACTGTTTCCCATCTATCTCTGCAATAGGATGGCTACTTATTCTCCCACACTTTAGGATTAAAGGTAGGTTGCTATTTTATTTGCTCTGCTTCTCAATGCCTTTGCAAATCATTACTCTTCTATCTTCTTTGTAAAAACCTCTTCTCCTTTGCTATCTTGCTGCACAATACTTCAACTCTCATCATAGCTGTCATCTCTCAACTTACTCATTACTCCTCCTACTTTACTGATGGCTTTGACATCTGGATCTCAAAATTCCTCTTCACTGCAAGTCCTGCCTCAAGAGTAAGCAGATTAAGAGGACAGACTCCAGATAGAATCAGACTGCTGGGTTCAAGTCTTGGTACTACCACATATAGCTATGTTGCCATGTTCCTTAACCTTTCTTTTCCTGAGTTTCCTCATTTATAAAATAAAGATGGTAACAGTAATTCACAGGATTTGTTGCACAGATTAAAAGGGTTGATTCGTGTACAGGGTTCGAAATAGTACCTGACATAGTACTAAGTACATAGTACTTACTAATAGTAGTAAGTACTTAGTAAACATTAGCTACTACTGCTGTCATCATTATCATCATCCTTATTAAAGTCTATCTCAATGTCTACATGGATAACTCATTCAACATGTCCTATGAGCTCCCTGTCACCAATAAATTTCTTCTCTGCTCTACCCCAGCAACTCTCTTCCATAGCTTCACCCTAGATCCTCTAATCACCATATCTTCTCCACCTCCAGAATATTAAATTCAAATATCTCACTCTCTGACGACTACCTTCTGTCCTTCCAGCACATTTACCTGTCCCCCTATATCTGCTTCCCATCATCGAAACCTCTGAATGCCAGACTCCTCTACTGAATCTCTTTCAGCCCCTCCTATTTTTGTCTCTCTTCCTTTCTTCTTACATCTCTCTTTCATCCACTCTCTTGACAACAACTTCAGTCTCAACGCCCCAATTTCCTTCTATACAAAATTGGCAAAGTTCTAATCTTGGATGAATCAAACTATCAGGCTCTTCTTGACAGGGTTGCTGAGAGCTACTGAGGAGAATCATACAACTATAATTATAAATTCATGGTCTCCACCTTCAATGACACCCAGCAATCTTTCTATTTCCTTACCTAGTTTACAATCTCCTACCCCTCACAATGGCCATTTCAGGCCTTTACCACTCTCTCCAGACCTCTCATTTTCCTGCCTACTACCCACCTAACCCCACTCCACCTACCTCTGCTTCTACTTTCAATAAATGATCTATCCCACTTCAGAGAAAACAAGAATGAGATTAGAACTACCACAATTTCCTCCTATCAAACCTAAAAGTCCACCTTAGCCGCATCTATATCCACCCACTTCTTCCTTCCTATCACAATGAAGGAGATGTCTCTCCTCCTGCTTAAGGCTAATCTTGTGCTCTGTGCTCTGGATTCTTTTTTGTTTTTTAATAAATTTATTTATTTATTTATTTATTTTTGGCTGCATTGGGTCTTCATTGCTGCGCACAGGCTTTCTGTGTATGTGCATGTGTCAGGCACTGCCTTTTGAAAAATTTTTTATTTTGCAAAGTTGCAAACATAGTACAGAGTTCCTAAATACTCTTCACCTTGTTTCTCCTAAGGTTAACATCTTACATATATATTGAAGCCAGAAAATTAACATTCATATAGTACTGTTAACTAATCATCTTATTTGAATATTGCCTGTTTTCAGTGGAAAAAGTCTTTTTTCTTGTCCATGACTCATCCAGCATCCAATACTGCATTTAGTTGTATCTCCTTTGTTCCCTCCAGTCGATGACAGTTCTGTCTTTCTTTTTCATGATCTTGACATATTTGAAGACTACTAGTTTTGTAGAAGGTCCTTCCATTTGGGTTTTTTTTTTAACATCTTTATTGGAGTATAATTACTTTACAATGGTGTGTTAGTTTCTGTTTTATAACAAAGTAACTCAGCTATACACATACGTATATCCCCATATCTCCTCCCTCTTGTGTCTCCCTCCCACCCTCCCTATCCTACCCCTCTAGGTGGTCACAAAGCACAGTGCTGATATCCCCGTGCTATGTGGCTGCTTCCCACTATCCATTTTACATTTGGTAGTATATATAAGTCCATGCCACTCTCTCACTTCGTCTCACCTTACCCTTCCCCCTCCCTGTGTCCTCAAGTTCATTCTCTACGTCTGAGTCTTTTTTTTTTTTTTTTTTTTTGCAGTACGTGGGCCTCTCACTGTTGTGGCCTCTCCCGTTGCGGAGCACAGGCTCCGGACGCACAGGCTCAGTGGCCATGGCTCACGGGCCCAGCCGTTCCGTGGCACGTGGGATCTTCCCAGACCAGGGCACGAACCCGTGTCCTCTGCATCGGCAGGCAGACTCTCAACCACTGCGCCACCAGGGAAGCCCCACGTCTGAGTCTTTATTCCTGTTGCACATGGGCTTTTTCTCTAGTTGCGGTGAGAGGGGGCTACTCTTCGTTGTGGTGCGGGGGCTTCTCCTTGTGGTGGCTTCTCTTGTTGCAGAGCACGGGCTCGAGGCACGCCAGCTTCAGTAGTTGTGGCTCGCGGGCTCTAGAGCACAGGCTCAGTAATTGTGGCACTCGGGATTAGCTACTCCACGGCACGTGGGATCTCCTGGACCAGGGATCGAACCCGTGTCCCCTGCATTGGCAGGCGGATTCTCAACCACTGCGCCACCAGGGAAGCCCTGTGCTCTGGATTCTAACCCACCTGCCTTATAAGGCATGGTTCTCAAAGTGTGGTTCCCAGACTAGCAGCATCAGCACTCTAGGAACCTGTTACAAATGCAAATTTCAGGTCCCACTCTAAACCTACTGAATCAGAAACTTTGGAGCTTGGGCCCAGCAATCTGTTTTGAACGAGGCCTCCAAGTGATTCTGACACTTGTTAAAGTTTGAGAACCTCAGCTCTGAGGGAGTATTTATCATTTATCCCCTTTCCCGTATCTTCAACTGCCTTCTTTAGTGAAGATGGTTCCCTTGCCTGAAGAGCCTCCTACGTGATTGCTCCACGTACATTCTTGCACTTCTCCAGTCTACTCACCACACAAAACATATCTGATCATTTCATTCCCTGCTTAAGATAAACTAATACTCAAGGTTCTGTACACCTCTGAAGCCTGTTCTTTCTCCACTAGCTCTCCTGCTCTGTCTGCCAAGCAAGACCAGTCTCTCCCAACTTCCTGATCTTCCAATTTTCTAGGGCACCTAACAAACTTTGAAATTGTTATTCCTTCTGCCTGAATTACTCCTTGCCTGTTTCTTTTCCGAATTCCTACTTCTATTTTAAGTCTCAGCTTAAGCTTTCCTTCCTTAGGGTGGCCTAACTTTACCCCTCAGTCTCAATTAGGTCTCTGTTAGATGCTCTTATAGCACTCCACTTACCCTCTCATAATGTGCATCAAGCTTATAATTATTTCATTATCATAAATGGCATGTCTATTTTCCTTGTCAGAGTGTAAGCTCCATTAGCGCAGGAATCATGATCTTATTTGCTATAATATTCCTAGTGCCTTGCTTTTAGTACAGGACCTTGCAGATAGTAAATGTGTAACCAAGCCTTTGCATACACCGGATCTCCCTCCAGAATGTTTTTTATTACCTTTAAACCCCTAGTGAAATCCTACGCATGCTTCAAGAAATAAGTTAAGTATCTCAGTGAAGTCTTCCCTGTACATACACATCACCTGCCTGCTCAGGAGGATCTCTTCTTCTTTTGTGCTCCTACTGTTCCTAAATCAACTAATGCAATAATTATACACTATCATAAATACCCATCTTCATGCCTGAGTCTCCACTAGACTGTAAACTCCCTGAGGGCACAGATCATGTCTTCTTTACCTTTATCTCTCTAGCGCTTCGAAAAGTACCTGACATTTATAATAAATGTCCATAAATGTTTATGGGCATGTTGAACCTAACACTGTATCTCTAATATTGCACTGAAACGTTTTTTCTTAATATTAAATCTGGGTTCCAATTCTAACTTTGTTATTCATTAGCTGTATGATCAAATTGTTTAACCTCTTTGGGCCTCAGTTTCCTCACTAGTAAAACAGGACTAATAATACATACTTGGAAATACTGCTATGAGAATTAAACAAAATGACATACTATAATGATTAGCACACACAGTGCCTAGCATGTAGTAGCCTCCCTAGTATGGCTTCAACTTGACAGAGACAACTAGGACAAAACAAATACAAAAATAAGTCACAGCAATCAAGGGAGAATGAGCACAGAGTGAGTCATTCCTTTTAATCATTCGCCCAGGAAGCCCAACAATGAAGAAACATAATAAGCAGAATAAACTCTACCGGTGGTATCTCCCTTGGCATACAAAGCTTGGTAAGAATTCACCTGAGACCTCTTGGCTAATGGCCACATCCAGCTCCCCAGCCCGGCAGGTCAGGTCTTAATCTGCAATACCAGGCATGGTTACTTCAGAGTGGAACAGAAAAAGGAATGTGTTTACAGGAGGGAGATGGGGGAGGAGGAGGAGAACTTGACTGCAACCACATCAATCAAAGTGTTCTGCAATCTGGCAGAAAACACTGCAGAATTGTTGGTGGAGACTAACACCCGCACAACTGCCCTTACCTGTAGCCAAGAACCAGCTTAGACTAGATAATGAGCAGCTTTCTGCTTTTACCAAAACAATGGCCAGACTTGCACGGAAAGAAAGTCTCTAAGGTCAAATTACCTTGAACATCTGGGCAGCAGCACCTACTAAGATGACACCAAGCAGCTTTATACATACACTCCTCAGCCTATGAGCACCGCCCACAAGCACCAGCTTCATTTCATAGCTCATGTATGCGCCAAATGTAAAAGCAGATTAAACAGTTTCTTTGCTCCTTATTCGTAATATGCTTACCTCTGCAGAGCTAGCGGTATTCAGATCACCTCGCTCATTCATTATAGAAGGCTGTGTCACTGTAGCTGCTTCTTCACTGGGACTCTCTCTCTTCCGAAGCTTCCTGATGAAGCTCTGCTGGTCACTGGAAGATAAAGTAGGTCTGAGCGGAGTTCTGGGTGGGCTCTGCCTCCTCCAAGATGCCCTGCTCCAACCTAGCCCCAGAATATGTGGTACATCATCTTCAGGTAGAAAGTCCAAGTCATCTGCAATTTGGAATTTTTTTAAAAACACCAGCATAGAATTGGAAGAGTCTGTCCTAAAAGCCTGGCAGCTCTGGGGCCTGCTGCAGTCTGCCTGAATGCACATCCCTTCTAACCACCAAAAGGCATGACAGGCAGAGTCCTGGCAGCAGGCAGCCCAACATGTCTGGAGAGAGGGGGTTCCTTCAAGAAGCCAGAGGTGATTTTCTCCCCCAGATCTCAGGTCAACTCCAAATTGTGTCTTCGCCTGCTGGCACCTGCTCTCCTTGGCATCTAAAAACAAAGAATGAAAACATTTAAAAATGAAATAAAAACAGAGACTACAGCTCTAAAGAGTCCTGAATACTAACATTTGAGGCTGTTTTGAAGATTGGTTTTTAAGAGGGTGGGAAAGCTGTCTAGTAAGTGGAATAAAAGACACAAAAGAGAGAGTTTTTTGGCTCAGGATATTTTAGCTTGTAGAAGAATTGCTCCACATTCATCACTGGCTCCCCTCCTCAATGAGTCCCTTGCATGCAGACCTTTTAAACAGAACTCCAGTTCATGAGACAGAAAAAACAAAACAAAAGAGCTCTTCTGATGGAAGTGTACTGAAGGATGTGGGCAGAGTCCCACCACTTGACCTCACATTCACCTCCAAGGCATTTCTCAGGGACAGTGTGAAGATTATGGGACCAGAAGAGCAGCCAGCTGCAGAAGATGGAGTACTCTGCCCACTGAACTGGCAGCAATACAAATTGAGTACTCTTGATCTATTGCAGGATTCAGGTTCATCCATTCTCTAATCAATGGTTTACCAAAGTCAGGTGGTTTTGCATATCACAGCATCAACCAGAGCAGTAGTCAGTCAAGCTTACCAAAAATTTTTAATCATGAGAGGTATTCTGCTAGAATGAACTTGTAAGTTCTAAGCCGTGTCATAATAAGAAATATTGGAGGCTAACACAACATTGTAAAGCAACCATGCTCCAATAAAAATTAATTAAAAAAAAAAGAAAAAGAAATAAAGGAATAGAAGTACAACAATGACCTACTGTGGTTAACCTAGATAACATGGTCCAAAATTCCAGCTAACGCTGCTTACAGATAAACTTTTGAGCCATTGAATCTTTTCAGGCATGGTATTGATTTTCCTGAAATATCACCTCATTTCTGTTTTCTTAGATGAAATAAAGTCAAAGCATGTTCTGAATTAAAGTTTTTATACAGAGTTCATTTTTTTTTTTTTTTTTTTTTTTTTTTTAGATTCCACATATAAGCTATATGGTATTTGTCTTTCTCTGTCTTACTTCACTTAGTATGATAATCTCTAGGTCCATCGATGTTGCTGCAAATGGCATTATTTTATTCTTTTTTATGGCCAAATAGTATTCCATTGTATAAATATACCGCATATTATTTATCCATTCATCTGCCGCGTCTCCTGCATCGGCAGGCGGACTCTCAAGCACTGCGCCACCAGGGAAGCCCCAGAGTTCATTTTAAGGTCTTAGTTATATAGGTGTCTGTAACCAACTACGGTCAGGGTTATACAAAGCCAGAACCAGGATGAGGCAAGAGAGATGCCTCAGGCACACTCTTAGAGTGCTCACTCTTAGACTCATGAAGTACTCACTCTTAGAGTCATGTAAGTGCCGGGCTGGCCTGCCCCCACCATTTTTTTTTTTTTAATATTTATTTATTTGGTTGCGTTGGGTCTTAGTTGCAGCATGCAAACTCTTAGCTGCTGCATGTGGGATCTAGTTCCCTGACTAGGGATCGAACCCCGGCCCCCTGCATTGGGAGTGCAGAGTCTTAGCCACTGGACCACCAGGGAAGTCCCAGCTTACCCCCATCTTGAGAGTGAGTGTTTCCTGAAATTTCATACCCTAGGTACCTCTTTCTTCACCCTAGCCCTAGCCCTGGGCTTATAACATAAAATTTTATTGTAGAATTACATATAGAAAATATGTAGTAGAATCAAACTATTGAATAGATGGATAGTCATGTCTGCATGTACACATAACTGAAAAAGGGCTATGACTGACTAAAGCAACAACTGGATAATCTGCCAAAGCCATCGTGACTCCCAGGAAACAATTACTAAATGTGGACACCAGTCAACTGAGAGATAAGAGAAAAACAGGCAGCCTTCTGGATTATGGAGTCAAGCACTATGGAAGCCAATCTGCCACTGTTCTTTCTTTCTTTCTTTTTTAAAATTTATTTATTATTTATTTATTTATTTTTGGCTGCATTGGGTCTTCATTGCTGCACGCAGGATTTCTCTAGTTGCGGCGAGCAGGGGCTACTCTTTGTTGCAGTGTGTGTGCTTCTCATTGCGGTGGCTCCTCTTGTTGCAGAGCAAGGGCTCTAGGCACGCGGGCTTCAGTAGTTGGGGCATGTGGGCTCAGTAGCTGTGCTCGCAGGCTCTAGAGCACAGGCTCAGTAGTTGTGGCGCACAGGCTCAGCTGCTCCGTGGTATGTGGGATCTTCCCAGACCAGGGATTAAACCCGTGTCCCCTGCATTGGCAGGCGGATTCTTAACCACTGTGCCACCAGGGAAGTCCCTGCCATTGCTCTTTAAACAAAAAGAGAGAAACATGGGCACCAACCTAACATCAGACAAGACAATTTAGAGGCCAGAAAAAAACAGAACTTACTTAAGAAAAGATGAATAAATAGAAACTATGAAAAAAATGAAGTTACCAAGAGCTATGGAAATGCTCCTCATTTCCTCATCCACCTTCCTAAACAATAACCAATTGTATGAATCTTGGTAACAGCTGAGTGTACAGAGTTTGTTGAAATCAGTAAATTGTTATATCAGTAACTACTTTCAGTTACCTTTATATCAACTTTCCATCATTCTTCTCAGAAAAAGTCTCTCATATTTAATATAGTGAAAAGGCCCACAAAGATGAAAATAGCTTGCAGTTTTCTATAAGCCATTATTTTATTTAATTTTTTTTAATGTACTGTAACCTCCACTTCTGCCCTTGAGGGAGAAATTGCCATAGGACTTGCTTTCCTACCATGAGAAACTAGAAAACTAGACAAAATATATGAAACAATTGTTTTTGAACACTGAACAACATGTGGTCTGGGGCTGTGATCCCAGAGAGAAAGGAAATAAACAAGGGTGAGCCCTAGGACCACCCTGGCTTTCCGTTTACAGGATAGGCATGCTGCAGACTATGTAACAGGAAGAACCCAAGCAGAGTAGAGTAGTCTTGCTGAGTTGAGGAAACAGAGTTCAGGGTGACTATGATAGCTAGACACTACCGGAAAGGAGGAAGCTACACAGAGAAAGACCTCCAGACAGCTGGACAGTGGTTCCCTTGGTATAATACTAATTTTTACACCAAGTGTAGGTTAAAACTGCATGAAAGTTTAGAAAGTATTTTGAACTAAATGAAACTGAAAATAGAACATATTAAAATTAGTGGGATGCAGTTAAAGCAACGTTTAGAGGGACATTTATAGCTTTAAATGCTTATTTTGGAAAAGAAGAAAAGTCTAAAATCAATGATCTAGAAAGACACATAGGGAGAATGCCATGTGATGACAGAAGCAGAGATTGAAATGATACAGCTGCATGGCAAGGAAAGTCAAGGACTGACAGTGACCACCAGAAGCTAGGAAGAGTCAAAGAAGGATTCTACTCAGTCTCAGAAGGAACCAACCCTGCCAAAACCTTGATTTTGGACTTCTAGCATCCAGAACTATTGGCCTAAGCAGTGTTCTCTGCCCTTGCGTGGAAGAATACTTCGGAAGACAGATGGCTCCAAGACTACCAAGAGCCTGGATCTAGGGATCCTTGACATTTGGGGATGAGGCTATGGCCTCTACCCAGATTGAATGAAGATACCTGGATTCCATTCAATGGACATGTACAGAGATATGATGTTGGAAATCTATAGGAATCTGTTGTTATGGGGCTTTTCTCTCTTTCAAACCAAAATTAATAGCCCAACTGGAGCAAGGGGCAGAGCCCTGGATGGAAGTGTGAGAAGTTCCACCGGTACCTGTGCAGTCCAGGTGTACTGGTTTGAAACAATGATGTCAGCCCTAAAGCAAAATACTTCTGAACCGTTTGCTCTGAAAGGGCAAACAAAAAGTGTCATAATTGATATAGGTCTGAAGTGGGAGGACAGAAGCTCCACAGAGAAGTAGTACTATAATGTAAGAAAGTCTTCAAATTCCTCCTTTATTAGACACCAGAGATATCATACTGGTAAGAAATACCATAAACATAAACAATGTTTGACAGCCATTATGAGCAGCTCATTTCTTTTCATCATCATAAAATTCACATAAGAAAACAACTTTATAGATGTACTGAATGTGGGAAATTCTTCAAGAAGCACTCAACAATTATTAATCATTAGAGAATTCATTCTAGAGAAAAACCCTATAAATGCAATGCATGTGGAAAAGCTTTCAGAAATAACTCTATCCTTTTAGGTCATCAGAGAATTCAGACCAGTCAGAAACCCTTACAAATGTAAAGACTGTGAGAAAGTCTTTGCTCAGAAGGTAGCCCTTACTCATCATGAGAGAATATATAGTGGAGAAAGGCCTTTTATATGTAATGAATGTGGGAAAGCTTTCAGGGATAACGCAACTGTGTTGGAACATAAGAAAATCCATACTGATGAGAAACCATACTGGTATGATGAATGCAGAAAAGCCTTTAGGAAGAGCTCAACTCTTATTAATCATCAAAGATACAGTATACAGGAGAGAAACCCTATAGCTGTAGTAAATGTGGAAAATCTTTCAGGTATACATCCTTTGCTGGACATCAGAAGACGCATAGTGGAAATAAACCCTACTGATGTAATGACTGTGGGAAAGCCCATATGAAGAACTAGCTCAATTTTTATTGGACATCAGAGAAGCCATACCAGAGAAAAGTCTTATAAACAAAATTAATATGGGAAGACTTTTCCCCAAAGTTCAGCCCTTAAACAACATAAGATAATTCATAGCAAAGAAAGAGCCATGAAATGTAGTTATTGTGGTAAATCACATAGAAGTAGTTTACTCCTTCTGAGCATCAAAGAGAAGACATTCAACAAATTATACATCTAACAAAAATATTCTGTGTACCTCTATCCTGGAGAACTTCCCACTTGTGAGGACTTCATTATAGTATAGTTTGTACTGTAAAATATTTGAAGAACCTAAATGTCTATCAATATAGAAATAGTTACTACAGAATACTATACAGCAAGTGAAAAGAATTAGGTAGAGTTCTATATACAGCCAAAGAAATATCCCCATGATAC